TAGATGGAGGCGACGTTTCTGCGGCGTGGAACACTTTCTGTCGCAATCTTCGACGAAGCAAGCATATGTCTTCTCACCTTTGGCTTGAAGGGCCTCGCGGAAGGAATTGTGGTTCTCGTCGATGTGCAGGGCTAGGAAGTGAGCAGTAGGGAAATTTTTACCGCAAGAGGTGCAACGATTGGAATGGTCTTTGGCATAATGTACCTCGAAATCTTCGATAGAAGCAAAGTCCAGGGTTTCCCGGTGAGGCGGTAGAGAGCACTGCATGACCGGCATGACTGGCAGAGCAGCGACCGTGGTTACAGCACTGAATTTTGCAGAACGAGGAGATTGAGATTCTTCTCCCGCAGAACTGGCGGTGTCGCTGCTGGAGCAAAGGGCCGAGGACTCGCGTGATCGCTTGACCATGGCGGTGTAAGTACCCGGATGATGGGGATGTATCTGGGTCTGATCAGCCCTACTCACGCTTCAAGATGATGACTTTCCCCTTGCATGCCTAGATAGGCCCGAAGGTATCGAACATCTTTGAGGTTACGATTGTTCGATGAGAGATGCAAGAGTAACGATGGCGATGAAATGGTCTTGGGCTGTGGACAAGGATGAGGCCAGTGAGAAAAGAATCATGGCAGACTGCGCACAAGGGAGGGAAGTGGCCTGCGCTGGTTGGATCTCAGGTCGATGCTAACCAAGCCAGAAAGGGCAACAGCCGTGCCTAACCAGCCAGTGTCATCCCCAATAGTCGCGCCTAGGCCTAGGTGTCAGGTACATTAATAGGCCCACCAGGCCTCCACCTTGATGGTGATTGGGCGCCCCTGGTGGTCCCGATGAGCCTGATCCGCCCTGATCAGCCGGGCGAGCTCCCCTTCTCACTCGTTACTCAGGCACCCCCCCTGTCTCTCCACAGTTGCTTCATCCTGTTGTTACAAGCGCCTCTTTTGTCTGTTGCCTCAGTCTCCTTGTGCTGCTTGTTGGTCGTTGATCGAGTGTTTCAGACTCTGCAGCCACGATCCATGAACGACATCGACGTGACAGTGCCACGATCAAGCCAGTCTCAAAGCCGCCCGAACTCGTCATCCATTTTGCATCTGGCCATCTATCCCAAAGGCACCTGCGAACGCCGAAGCCTCAACGTCTCTTCCTCCCGTTTGCCTCCTTTCCCACTGCTCAACGGCCACTAGCAATTACAGTTTAGCAGACACGTCCACAAAGTGCTTTGTTCAGCAGCCTCTCACGTACCCTGCGTTGTCTCATTCAACACTGCTTGTTTCCTTGTCGCTTGCCTCCACCAGGCTGAAACTACAGTCGTGACTTATCCGTCCTTTGTCTTTCCACCTCCCACTCAAATTCCTGCTCGCATGCCGGACATTAAATAAGAGAAGGAGCACGTCTCCCTATCTCCTCATTATCGCGAACGTGGGTTGCAGGAATCGACGCAAATATGCTTGCCTCCAAGCCACCGTTTACCGCCAACACCGGAAATCCCCAGCAGATGCTCGTCCGCAACTTCTCCGAGTCTTCGACCAGAACGCAAATGACCTCGATGGCTCTGCAAGACGGCCTCTTTACCTCCCCAACAGATTCTGAATTCTCCGATGTCTATGACGGGCTGGACTCGATAAGGGCGTGGGACGAGAAAAAGGTGGGAGAGTGGCTGCACTCGATCCGCTGCGGACAGTATGAACCTCTTTTCAAAGCGAACAACTTTACAGGAGAGAGTTTACTGGAATGTGACCAGAAGATATTGTCAGAGATGGGTATCAAGAAGATTGGTGACCGCGTGCGAATCAATGTGGCGATTAAACAGCTGCGGAACAAGTCATCCTTGTTACGCTCTAGGAGAAACCGAGATAGCCTTGCTATCCTGGATGGCATTGCTGGAACCCCCTCCTCTTCAGACTCTCCTCGAACCCACGGGTCTAGGTCACACAATGGTAGCGGCAAACGTTTCTCCCGCCAGCTCGACTCCTCCGTCTTGCAGAATTTCAACTCGGCCAGCACAGGGTTCAAAGTCGGGTCAAGACCAAGCTCACCTCTCGCAGATGTACACAGCGCAGGCCTTCGATCACATCGCTATGCACAAAGCCCGATGGACGGTGGGAGAAACGCGTCTGGGGGAGGATACTTCAGCCAACCAGGATCAGCGAATTCCACGTCCGGCAGACGACCTGAAACTCCACAGCTCGCAAGTCAAACCACGCGAGCAGCTCATCTCCGGCAAAACTCGAGCATCGATGGCCTGACACCTGGTGGATTGCCCTCAGGATCCCCTGTCATCAAAATCATCCATAACGGTGGGCAAACGAAGGTTGTGAATATCAAGTTTTGTCGGACGGCCGACGATGTCACGTCGACAGTGCTGAAGAAATTACATCTACCAGAAACTCATTTTCGCAACTATTGCTTCTACGTCCTCAACGGCCTGGACCCAGATCCAGGAAACTGTCGCCGTGTAAGCGACAGCGAACTCATGAGGATCTGTAATGAGTCGACCCGATCAGAGAGAAATCGACTGATCCTGAGAAAGATCAACGACGGGCCTCCCGACGTGGACGAACTCCAGAAAGCGGCCAAAATTGCGGCCGATGAATCACAGGTTTTGCACAGCAATGCACTGAGCACAAACAACATGCGCAACCAGATCAAGCTGCAGAAGCTCACAGGAGAGTCATGGCACAATATTCAAGTCCCCATCTCACCAGTTACCACTACGGATCGAAATCGAAACATCATTGCGACTGCGGATGAACATGATCGGCAGGAAGCCCAGCAACACCTCAGAGTTCCTAGTAATCAGAATACGAAGCTCCGTACTTTCTTTGGGGCACGACCTCCTAGCGAGATGATTGTGCAAGAGTTGACCTCTTATTTCCCTGCTCATCAACGCGAGGATATCGAAAAGACAATGAGGCTATCAGTCCGACGCTCACAACGCATGAGTCGCGCACAAAGTCGCCTAAGCGTGATGAGCAATGTGAGCATGGCCTCTAGCCTCAAGGACGCTCCTCCCGTACCAAGCATTCCCAGCATTGCCGACTCCTGGCTGTACCAGACCGGTATGACCCCTCGTACTCCTGCTGCCCGACCGCTCTCGGTAGTGTCGAACAGGTTCAATCTTATGAACCAGTCGTTCCGTGATTCCATTGCCTCGTCCACGCTCCACCCGTTGCAGGAAGAATCCCCCATCGAGCCGAACAGGAAATCATATGTCTCGTTTGACAGTGGTTCCGATACTGCTGCCCAGGGTGAAGCAGCTAGGGCAAGCTATTTTGACGAGAGTCCTGGGGTCACTCTGAATACCGACAATGTGAATGAACGATTGTCGGTGATCGTGGCTGAGGATGGTGAGGAGGAAGACCAGGAGCTAAACTCGTTCCTTCAAGGCAACAGCTTCGACAAGAACAACTGGATGAAGGGTGGCTTGATCGGCGAAGGCTCATTCGGCAGTGTCTATCTCGCCTTGCATGCTGTGACTGGTGAATTGATGGCAGTCAAGCAAGTCGAGTTGCCCAATGTGGCCAAGGGCACCGAAGGTGATAAGAAGAAGACGGCCATGATTGCAGCTTTGAAGCAAGAGATTACACTCTTGCAAGGCCTTCGTCATCCACATATTGTGCAATACTTGGGTACTTCATCGGACGAGGAGCACCTGAACATTTTCCTCGAATATGTTCCAGGTGGCTCCATCGCCGGCATGCTCAAGCAATACAACACTTTCCAGGAACCACTCGTCCGGAACTTCACCAGACAAATTCTCGAGGGTCTGTCATACTTGCACTCTCGCAATATCATTCATCGAGACATCAAGGGCGCCAATATTCTGGTCGACAACCGCGGTGCCGTGAAAATCTCCGATTTTGGTGTTTCCAAGAAAACCAACTTCAATGGTATGAACACTGCACCGGGTACTCGCACATCTCTTCAAGGAAGCGTCTTCTGGATGGCTCCCGAAGTTGTCCGCCAGTCTGGACAGTCGCTCAAGTCAGATATCTGGTCAGTCGGGTGTCTTGTTGTTGAGATGTTCACAGGATCCCGGCCATTCCCATCAATGACGACGCTTCAAACGCTGTTTGCTGTCGGAAGCAATAACGAGAAACCAAGTATTCCCGAGCATGCAAGTGAGGACGCGAAGCGGTTTATGGGGAAGACCTTTGAGGTTGACCATGAAAAGAGGCCTGGCGCAGATGAGTTGTTGAAAGAGAGGTTTTTGCTGCCTACGGCTTGAGGTCCAATTTGATGCAGGGGCTGAATGATTCTCATCTGTGTAATATGAAAGCGTGATGAATGTCAGGAGCATCTTGCGGCAGAACATGATGATCTGAGATGGGAAGAGGAACCGCAGCAGTCTCTAAACGAATCAGCCACATCAAATGATTTCCGATGAGCAGAACTATATAGTTGCTAAGGGTCAAGGGCATAGGTTTCTTTGTTCTTGCATGTGTTAACTATGTGCATTGGGTCACGCCTGGGACGACCTGGTTGTTTGTGTATATCACCCGCTTCATTGATGGAAGGATGGGGACATCCATAGCTTAGCGAAAGGTGTTGAAAGCTAACCCTTGTGAAAGATGTATCAGATATAAGAAAGAGACTACAGAATCGCGGCACCAACAGGGACGCCTTCGATCTGATAAGTGCTCTTGCGCTCTTCTCGGTGATCTGGCGTACGCATATATATGTTCGTGAAGTGCCACGAGTGGCCCCGTGTGGACTGGTTTCTGGTCTACCGAGTGAGCGAGACAGATATGATTAGAGAAACGGAGACCTGCGAGAGAACATTGAAGAAATCGATAAATAGGTAGAAAACTAAAAAGTCTCCCAAGTCATGTCATGACAGTGCTTCGAGGGGTTAAATGTCCTTCCTTTGCTGCGTCTGGCCCTGATTGAAACGAGGGAGAACTGGTCCTAACTTTTCGCAAAGCATCTTCGGTAGGCATCCGAGGGCGCACGACCTCTCCTATATGTTTCTCGATATCCCCTCGAACCTGTTCACATATTCTTTGTTAAGATATGTCCATGGGCTGAATGGGGATATGAACCACCGGAGGCGGTCGAGGAGCGTCATGTGCCGTCATCTTCACGCCGTTCATCAGATTTGGCTGGCCTCCATCAGTCCCGTTATTTCTTGGGGCAACATTGATCGTGTCCATTGTTTCTCCTAGGGGTTGCAACGGTCTCGGCGTGGCCTGCACTTGCTGCAAACCATTCATAACGGCTGATGTTCCGTTCGTTACATGGAAAGCTTGAGGAGGTGGACCTTGTGCCGTTGTTGTGGACGTGGGATTCTCGGCGTCCTTTCGATATCGTAGTTGGACAACCAAGCTTTCCTGAGTATTTTCGTCCTCGACCTCGTCCGGTTCAAGGCCTTCATCGCTCATATCATCGTCGTCATCGTCACCTTCATCCTCTCCGCAAAGTCCGGCTCTGACTCGTCCTCGTTTCCACTCCATTCTTTGCCTGATGACTGGGCCTCTTCGCTTTCGTCCGAGTCCATCTGCTCGGCATATCCCTGTCTATACGGTTTGACGTGTCTTCCCGACCTCGATGTTCTCATGTCACGCGCACTGGGTATAGTGGCAGGCATGTCCTCACTTGTCTCTGTATAGTTGCCTTCGCCCGTCACTCTTTCTAACTCCTTGCGCTGGTCGATCAACATGCTCTCGCCGTACAAACCACCCACCCTCGACTTGACATGCCTGCCGCTGGCGGTAACGGTCGGTCCAGTCTCAAGAGGTGTAGAGAGGCCGGAATTGCGCGTGGATCGCTTGCTAGACAGCCCGTCCGACCCATACTCGTCGTCTGAATATGTATATCTCATTCTCTTCCCACGTGTCCTTCCCTCATATAGTGAGAATCCGGGTTCGGGTCGAGCGAATGCAGCTTTTCGAGCAAGGCGGTAGTCGCGGCGTTTGCGCTTCTAGTGTGATTGTCAGTGCATGTCTGGTATGCGCGCCAACCTGCTTACCTCTTCGCCAGCCTCAAACCTTGGAATGGCCGCGCGTAACTTGTCGCTAATCACTTTCGAATTGGAACTATGTTCGTCGGCGAACTTGTCTGCAAGGGCTATGACTTCTGGGATGGAGCCGGCGACGCTGAACCATGTGTTTGTCTTTGCAGTCTTGCCATCATTTTCTCTGTAGATTCGAAAATGCGAGTCATCTTGTCCCTCAATCAGCCAGTACTTTCGGCGATATTGGTCCGAAAACCAAGGTTGAACACTTCGCGGTTGGTTGCGGTCGTCGTCCCGACGTGTCTGCTTGTAAGACTCTTTAATGACCGCTTGGACGGCTTCGGAGGAGTTCAGAGACCAGAGGACGAGAGCTTTTAGGAGGCTCAACTGAATCCTAGTTAGCTGTGCGGAACAGAGAAGGGAAGACAGAAAGCAACCCACCCGCTGCTCCGGGCTCATGCTGTTGAAAGTTGTTCCTCCGTGGAGAGGATTGACTCCCTTCCACTCAGTCGGCCATTGACTGTGGTTTGTAGATAGCGCATCTTCAAGTGCCCGGCCATAATGTCCGCGTCTGACCAGTGTTAGAAATTTTGACAGGTAATAGCCCACGAGCTCGTCCAGTATGCGGTAACTGACTCGACATCCTTCTTTCTATTCAGAACAAGTCCCAACAGCGCACAGAGCAGTCTCTCGACTTGCTCGTCGGGTAGTTCTCCAGCCACCCCTCTTTCAATGTCTTGCGGTCCGTAGTTCGGTAAAGATTTGGGAAACACGTCGCTGAATCGACTTCTGAACATTACGATAAACGCAATTGCCGGGTTATCGACCAGAGTATATTCGTGGGGTGGTGAGGGTGCGCGTTTGGGAGGCTCGGGGGTGGCTTCAGGCTTGGGCGCCGGCTTGAAATATCGATCCAATCCCGTTGGCTTCAGCGCCATTTTCTGTGCCATTTCCTCATCATCTGAGGATGGAGCGGAAGACAAGGACGAGGAATCAGAGTCAGCCATGACGAGATGGAGAGGAGATGGCGGACGGCAAGAGTGGTGAGACAGCTAGCCGGTACTACAGCAGGCGGTTGTTGTAGCAGGAGCACGGAGGGTGGAAGTGAAGGGGGAACTACAAAATCAGGGAGCGGTCTGATGAATTCACTTGGCGCGTTGAGGGCAAGTTACGCGCTGCTCGGCCAATGATCGCATTTCATCTGTCTCCCGGCGCTGGCAGTCAACGACGTCGCTTTCATAGCCTTTGAAGCGACAGGCTCCCATGCTAACCATTCTCTGGAATCCGAAGCACCAGCCGGCATCCAATTATTCGCCATCCACCGCAGGCACCGGGTTGTTGGAGGGTTGGTGCGACCGATCTCCATGAACATGAGTGCTTTTGGGGACGCCGGCTTGCCAAGCGTTGAATCAGCCTCTTGTCAAGTTCAACTTGCGTTGCAGCGATCCCGGGTTCAGCCCCCGCATCTTCCCAGACGCTGAGCCTGGGGGCATTCTCAACAGCATCCTCGACCGGGGACCTGCTTGCCGGTATACCGTTGTATGCATTCCCCTTGAGCACTGTTGTCCGACGCTGTCCTTTGCTTCAAATCCTGGTTGAGGCTAAGCATTCTCCGAGAAGACGCGGGGTTCTCCGGGAGATCCATGGCAATTGCGCCCTGAAGAACGCGCCCAAATTTTGTACCATGATTTTCTTGCTGAAGACTCAAATGAAGGTGTATGTCAAACACGTTGAGACGGCACAGGGCCTGGAAGCAGCCGACAGTGATCAGAGGCTCCGGCATGCCATATTGACAGGGCTCGTCACAGTTGAAATCTTGTAAATTTGTGGCTGAGCTTATACATGTAGCCGAGTTCGACCGTGTGCTTCTGATTCGATCTGCACCGTCTGCACCGGAAGAGTATCAAGAGGCCACTGAGGGCAGCAAGCTCGGGAATCAGCATTTTCGAGTGTCTCATTTTAGAGCGACCTCGTAGTTCGTTATGCTTTACCGACTCAGCACTTGTATGCAATGAATGGATGTGCATAGATAACGTGCAAGAGGAGAGTCGCTTTGGTCCAACATGCTCTTGATCAGCCCGCCCTACGCCAATGTGTTGTAGGGTAGAGCGGGAGCCTACTAGGTCAATTTTCTAAGCTTGGAAGAACTTACCACGTTTCACAACTCTCCTGTGAGACAATGTGCCGCCATACCGTTCAGAACAACTTCATGATATGTACAAAAAGCTTCTCTAGGCGATAAAAAAGACATGTAAATTTGATCATGTCACGCGAATGTTGTAACAGAGCCAATTCTAGAGAATAGAAGAATGTATAATGATATAAAGTAGAGCATCTGTGTATTCTGAAAGCCACCGTTCAACAGCAAGTAGTGCAGGCGGAGAGAATCAAGCCAACACAGGGCAGAGGTGAGATGACTTTGAAGTTGGCGGTTGCAGACCGGACTTCAGGTTTGAAGATGGAGGTGAGGCGGGCTGGGCGGGAGCCAAGTAATCACGTGATGACACAGCACACCACTTGTATATCCACTAGTCCATAATAGCACTAGCCTGGTACCTGCGCCATGAAAGGTCTTTTGCGTCGCCGTACTTTGTTCTTGTCCAATGCCAAGATTTTTGCTGAGGCGCACACAAACGAAACCTGCGCCTTGTCCATCTTCACCTCGAACTTTCAACAACCTCGTTCGGTCGACAACTACCTCGAAACTCTACGCCATCATGGGTAGAGTCATCAGGAACCAGCGTAAAGGGCGCGGATCCATCTTCAGTCAGTACCTCCTTCAGCAGCACCCCGACTATGTTCTCTGCTCTGCGATCACAAATTCTGCTCAATTGGTGCTGGTTCGTTTTGCTGATGTCTCGCAATAGCCAGTCATACCAGGTTGAGAAAGGGAGCTGCTAAGTTTCGACAACTCGATTACTCGGAGCGTCATGGGTACATTCGTGGGGTGGTGACTGAAATCATTCATGATCCTGGTCGAGGTGCACCGCTCGCGCGTGTCCAGTTCCGTTCGCCCTACAAATATGGCCTCAAGACCGAAACCTTTATTGCGAATGAAGGACTCTTTACTGGCCGTACGTGTTCGCTACACCGCTATCTTGGTCTTGGAACTCACAAATTGGTTCACTGGCTGACTGCTTGGATTCATCAGAGTTTATCTACGCTGGAAAGAACGCAGCCTTGAGCATCGGCAACATCCTCCCTCTGGGCGCTGTGCCCGAAGGTACTGTCGTCTCAAACGTGGAAGAGAAGACCGGAGACCGAGGCGCGTTGGGACGAACTTCAGGCAACTATGTGACTGTGATTGGACACAACCCTGATGAGGGCAAGACCAGAGTCAAGCTCCCCAGTGGCGCAAAGAAAGTCGTTCTCAGTTCGGCTCGAGGGATGATCGGCATCGTCGCTGGTGGTGGACGTACCGATAAGCCCATGCTCAGTATGTGCATTGCCATCACTTGTATGACATTGGAATGGGGCTAACTAGCGGACACAGAGGCTTCCCGCGCAAAGCACAAGTTCGCCGTCAAGCGCAACTCCTGGCCCAAGACTCGTGGTGTTGCCATGAATCCCGTCGACCATCCTCACGGTGGTGGTAACCATCAGCACATCGGCAAGGCTTCTACCATTTCAAGATACGCCGCTCAAGGTCAAAAAGCCGGTCTTATCGCTGCCCGGAGGACAGGTTTGCTACGTGGTACGCAGAAGACCAAGGAGTAGATGTGATGTTTGTATGAGGGGCTTCCAGAAAACGGCGTGGACTGTGTTACGGGTCTTTTACGGCATATGCGTCACCATCTCACAACGTGGAGAGTGGCAAGGGGTCCAAAGCTCTTCCCAATAACCGAAAGAATGCCAACAGATGCATTGTCTTTGAGAAGGTGCCAGTTGACTCTAGATAGCCTGGAGGTTGCGGTCACCGTAGCCGCAATGCAGATCGAGTTGAGACGACGAGAAGATTTCTGCGTGGTGCAAGCAAGGGAGATTACTATCATCTCGAGAACCTACCTGTGACCGAAACTGAGTATTTGATGAAGTCGATCAGCCCCTTTTTTCCACTTGTTGTAAAACTCCTGAGCTGTAAACCGCGGATCTTGTAGCGTGTTGATACTGCAAATTTCCCCCCCTTTCTCTTGAAAAAAATGTTACGGGAACATTCATCTGCAGCTCAGACGCCATGCTTACTGTGTACATGTACAAGACGGCCGTACGAGTAGTTGTATGTGTGGGATGCTTACGGGGTTCGGCAGCGACGAAGGTCCGGGGACCTCCTCGTGGCGGGTAGGGTGACGAGGGATGATGTGAATTATGCCGCAGTTGTGCCCAGTCTAAGATCGAACACGGCGTCTCTTGTTCTTCTTCTCTGCGCCATTTTACAGGCAGTGTGGACACTAGACACAGACTGTTAACTGCTAATACTAGTATTTTACAAGTAATATGGGCCAAGCGATGATTTCAGTTGGTGGCGTATTGTTTCAGAAGCTGGTGGAGGGACATGACCTGTCGCTGGGCACCACCCGGCACCGCTGGGAGCTTCTGGTGAATCCCCCGCAGAAGAGTTTGAGGTCAGGGGCAGCAGTTGGGAACCTGTGGCTCTGGGCTGCTCTGGCTTTCTCGTAACTTGCTTCTGGCTCTCGTGGTGGACCTTGAAGGGGCTCCGAAACTCTATCAGAAAGAACGCCTGTTTGCGCGTCGCTGCAACCGCAGCTTGTCATTAATTGGCATTGGCACCGAGACGAGCAACTGCGCGACGGGATTTAATTCATCATCTAGTAGCTCTCGTCCGTTGGGCCTGATTCCTATTCCATCGCTGTAAGCGCAGTCAATCGTTTATTATCCCTCTATATTCTGACCTCATTCACGCCGCTCGCCGGAGTTTTTGTCTCTTTTTCCTTGCTCATCTTCCGGACAGTATTTGATCCTTGATCAGCATTCCAATTGCACGACTAGAAACACCGCGCTGTCCGATCCCGATCACTCCGTTGCTCACCACCTGCACAGACAGCGTAACATAGATCCCTTGCTCTTATCGACCCCAACATCAGCATTCTCACTCTCGCTCTTCTAACCTTGCCTCGCTCCCTTGAACACCGCCAACCAGTACAGTGATCGCACATTTGCAATCATGAATGTCAACAAGAAACTCGATCGTTTCAAACAATGGGCAGGAGAGCGGATGGGTGGGGAAGTCAAGACCAATGTGTCCGACGACTTCAAGGCCATGGAGGTCGAGATGGGCCTTCGTCAAGAGGGTATTGTAGCATAATCTTGCCCAGCAATTGAAAACGAGGCGGGCGCTAATCGTTACGCTTCGCAGGTCTCGAGAAAATGCAGCGGTCAATGAATGCCTATATCAAAGCCATCTCCAAACGGTCCGAGGTGGAGGGTAAAGAGAAAACACTTCCGATCGCCTACATGGGCGGGACCATGATTTCTCATGGCGAAGACTTTGAGTCGGATTCAGAATATGGACAGTGTCTCAACAGTGGGTGTTCCCATGTTACAAGAATATTCCTATATGCTGACCTTCTAAGTGTTTGGCCGAATACAAGAACGATTGGCTCGTACGCAGGAAACCTACATCACGAACGCTACCACTTCCTGGCTGGAGTCGCTCGAAAGGTCTCTGGTCCAACTGAAAGAATACCAGGCCGCCCGCAAACGACTTGAGACACGCAGACTGGCTTATGATACATCGCTTGCCAAAATGCAGAAGGCCAAGAAGGAAGACTTCCGCGTCGAGGAGGAACTGCGGACTCAGAAGGCTAAATATGAAGAATCGGCGGACGATGTTCAGCGCAGAATGGAAGAAATTCGCGAATCAGACCCTGAGAGCGTGGCTGATCTCGCAGCATTTCTTGACGCCGAATTGGCATATCACGATCAATGTAGAGAAGCACTGTTACAACTAAAGAGCCAGTGGCCCGCTAGGTACGTATTTCCTCCTTCAAACATGAGGTTGGATCTAACTTGGCGCAGAGCACAGATGTCGAATCGAAGTATCCGTCCC